GTCGTTGGCTGACGTCACTGGTGCACAGCTGTCACCGGCTGACGTCATTGGTGTACCGCTGTCGCCTGTTTCAGCACGATGCGTGAACTGCGTCATCAAAACGTCAACTCCTTCTTGGGTGGCGTCGTTGAACCGAGCTGCTTCAAGATCGTCAGCGACTACTGCACCCGTGGCAGCCTTCCGGTATGCCTAGAGGGGGGGGGGGGAGTACTAGTGTTGATGAATTTCACTCATGGTCACTTGCGGACGCACATAGTTGATGAGAGCGAAGATGGCTGAAGTAGTGTGCTCGTGAAGTGTGGATGGCCGCCAACGAAATGGGATTTTCGTCCCACGAGGAGGAAAGTAACACACGATATGTAACATCAGCTATGCGTAATGATGTTGCGATCTGTAATTTAATGATGAGTTTTTGAACACTGATTCAAGCCGTTTCTCGGGAATATAACAAGTGTTCAATAGCGGTAAGCGTGATAGTTCAATTTTTGTATCTTGCAATATCTAGTGAGTCACGGAAACACTTCTAAAGTTAGCGTGTACAAAAGCGATAAGCTGGCGGGACTATAGCTGAGTAAAGGTATAGCGTACAAGTGGGTATGGGTATGGAAGGTATGGCGGGACCATAACCCCCTCAAGTTACGGCGTTTAGGTCGACACCAGGTCATGTTTTGGACGCCATTAAGGCGGAGTGTCCGTGTCGTAGGCCGCGCTCTCCCACCAATCTCATTGGTGGGGGATTTGGCGTTCCTGGTCACTTCTTTTGGCGACGCTGTAAGTTGTCACGGCATGCGGTCTTTGGGATGGGCGTGCACAGGTTCTTCCTTTTCAAAGCCGGATAAAGTGAGTGCCACTGAGGCTGCGTTCTTTCGGACTATGGCAATAGCCATACTTTGCCAGAGCCAGTCACTCTCTCGTCTGCCGCCCGACGAGGAAATCAGTCTGGCCACAAGACTTTCGACAACATTTTTCATCAATTGGCCACAAACTCGGCCGTTTTTCAAAGGCCATTGGTCGGAGCTGAAACCGCTGAGTGAGACTCGAGCATTTGCTATTATTTCTGCATCCGGCTTCTTAACTGCGGTGCCAGCGGCTATCGCGGGAGGCATAAGGATGGAGGCGGCAAACGTGTTGGTGCGTTTGGCATCCCATACCGGGCTCTTATCGCGGGCAAACGAAAATATGGTCATCCCAGCACGCCTTTTACCGTCTCCCCGGTCGATGCCAAAGGGTTCCAGGATAGATGGGATTGCTGTTGCCGGTAACTCGCGCCTCATCATGTCATTAAGTGTTGTGTGTCCGGGCAGTTGTCCAGCTCTCAAACGACAAATCAGCGCGTGATACCCCTTACGGCCTCTAAGCCGCGTCTGTGTGGTCGACATAAGTCGGTGCCTGCGCGGAGGACAATGGCGAGCCATAGTGTGTTCCGGTCCAGCGGTGTTCAAAGGCTGCCAGGTGGTACGGCGTGGAGCCAAGCACTGCTTTATTGAGTCATGGCGCTCCGTGGCCCAGCTTGGCCGGTTTATTGTCAGTCGGTTGTTGATTGTTAAGAAAATGCTATTGATTTCACCCGGAAATCTAGTTTTCTCGATGCCCTCAGTTGTTTTCAAGAAAATGAACTTGCACAATGTCCATGTCCATGCATCACGAGCACGTTATATAAAGGTCGTGGGGTAGCCATGAGACGTGGCTGAATGCATGGTAAAGTTCAAGCCAGATCTGTCGGGAAGCTTGCAGTTCTCTGTAGGGGCGGCCAAACAAAATCAACAAGTTTTTTTCCTAAGGGGGGGAAAGGAAGGTGCCGTCTTAGATCGATCCATTCCATGGAACGTTTGGCACGTTCGATATAAATGAAAAAAATCATGTTGTTACAAGTTCACTCCCACTTCCACCCATTTCTATCCTCCCGAGAATCCGTTGTATGTTTGAGGGGGCATGGCTTGCATAATTCATGGACGTCCCTTAGATTAGATAAAAGGAACATTCCCAGGCACGTGTCACTCCTGTGCGTTTTGATAACATTTGTTTTGATCATTCTTAGCTAAAAGATTTTGATGCGTTTGTTCTTTGTACCCAGGTCTCTACGTTCTTCAGCTATCGATATTCCGCCACTACGGTACATCTGGATAATTTTGTTTCCATCGTGCTTAGTTCGAAGAGTTCGAGGTCTTTGTACATTGTCCCTAGCTCTCGACGTTCCTGACGATTTTCCTGGCGGGGACTTACTAGCCGCAATCTGTTACAGGATATACTGGAAGGAGACGAGCTGAATCTAGAATATATGTTCATCGCCGAACTTATCCGCGACTTGGTTAAGGTAAGTGGTGCTCGATTTTGCGAGAGGCTTTTGCTGATGACTGTAACCAGTAAAGAGAGAACTGATTTATAATCGAGTTAAATGCGATCAAAATCTTAGAGTTCATGTTAGACGGTGAGGTTCACGTGCATACCGAAATAGTGAAAGTCCAGTTCCCTAAATAATTTTCCCCTCAAGTTTTTAGCCTGACAGGATTTTGTAAGGACATTTTAGTGTCGTAGAATATTGGAACACTGACTGAATGACTGGCTGACCGACCGACCCACTGATCGACCTGCAACGGTATGATACTTCAATACTTTACTATAGTACGGTCATTACTACATTTGGCGCTTCAATGTGCTTGTAGGCCATATAAAAAGCTTTAGTAAGTACCGATTGTTACTTAAAGACCGGCTGCCAAATAGTTGACATAAAAGCGAATTCACATGCCAGAAAACGGGGTATAGATCATCATATCTTAGGTAAATATGACCAGAATCTGCTGTCAACACTTGAATGAAAAACAAACGCCAGTAACGCTCCAAATAGACCTGGCGTCGTCATGCGAATTATGCAAATTCTGTGTTGAGTAGATCGGTTGTTTTGACCATTGCAGGGCATGCTGTACTTGCACACCTCTACGCTGCTCATGCACGGCAATCTCAAATCGTCCAACTGCGTGGTGACCTCCAGATGGGTGCTCAAGGTCACTGACTTTGGCCTGCACGAGCTGCGCACGATGTCAGACCGCGACAGCGAGTGTGATTACCAGTACTACAAGAGTGAGTCCTGCCCCTCCGGTCCGCGGTGTCCCTCAGATGTGTTTGGCTCCAGCTGGTAGCAGTGCTTTCATCTGGCTGCTCGAAGTCGAGGCGCGCAGTTTATGGAGCACCAGTAGAGTGAAATGTTTGATTAAATCGTGAAACCCTATCACATAAAACCCTGAATTCACGGACATGGGATTCTTTTCTGTACAGGTGGGACGTTTTGTTGCCTTTTTCATCAACACGGAAAGGGCTGAAACGATAAGCAGGGCCATTTCATGGACGGCATGGACCGGTCAGCCCACAACCGTGCGCTACGTGCGTGTCGGCGGCGCGCGCACCGCGATTCTAGATGGCCTTGGCCGCCCACGCGCAGCGGCGAGGCCCAGCTTTTCGAGACTTCTGTTTGGATGGCACGTCTCGAGTACCTCTTCGTGCGTCTATGCACCATTTCCGCCGGTGATTCTTATTTCAGTTACCGCGTGCTGCGATTCGAAGTTTTTGTGACCGATGTGCCGTAGGTGTAGTGTAGTGTGCCGTAGGGACACTGATGTAGACGGGTCTGACCTGGAACATTGGAGACGGGAACAGGAACGAAGATCGGAAACGCTGCGGACGAATTTTCTGACAGCCTTTGTGTAGTTGAGTCGGGAGCTAGGGATGGGAGGAGAGAGGGAGGGGGCCGGGCTGGAGGTGGATCAGCAGGGACAAGCCAGTGGGAGAGGGGGAGGGGTCCTGGCTGGAGGTGGATCAGCAGGGACAAGCCAATGGAAGAGGGGGAGGGGGCCGGGCTGGAGGTGGATCAGCAGGGACAAGCCAAGCCCTGACCCAAATATCCATGAAGTGTTTTGTGTTTTTTTTTTGTTGCTTCTTTAATTTTATGTTTTGTTTGTGTACACTGTTTACGTTGTGTGCTATGTGCCGTCAGTTTTACTTCGGAACGGTATTTTTGCATGCTTCTCCGGCACTGGTAAGAAGAGCTTGCGTTGAACGAAGAACGCAGTAACTCATTGCAATGTCAACAAAAAAATTATCAGCAAGCCTGCCATTTTGCTGATAAGGGTTCTTCATGTGGGCGATGTCAGCCTCGAGTGACATTCTCACGTGTCAGGCCTCATAGGAGATCTTTTGATCTCCAATAGTTCACCAGTGGTCGCGAGCTGTTTCTGCATTCATTATAGTTTCAGAAATCCTGGCAATAAAACATCATCGACCAGTTAAATTGCGTAATAACTGCATGTGCACCGGATGTCTTCTCAGATGCGTGGGTTCGGTGTGTTCTATGTTAAACGTTGACTTAAGAACAGTTTAGGTACTTTGACAAGCCGTACGTGGACAACATCGATCAACAGATTAGGTGGTGCTGCTGCTGTTAGTTTATTTACAGCGACTACTGCAGAAATTCTGCACCACATCTTGGTATTTTGGAATTACACAATTTTCCAAAAATGAGTGGAGAAATTGGATGGACAGGTGCTAAAATACTTCTTGATTTTTTGTGTCGCTGATATCATTCTGTCATGTCACAAATTTGTATGTATTTCAACTTATTTCATGCTGTTCGTATACAAAACACTTTGATTCTATGACACAAACAGGTTGTTGATTGATCACGATAGTAGATGCTCGTCGTTGAAACAGATAGAAATCCCATGGCGTACGCTGCCACCTATTCCTTAGGCCGTGGGGCTTATAATGTGATATGGGAACGCAAGCACCAATTTTCCCAACATTCGCGGTTTGTAGCTTTTTTGGGTCACCGTTTTACGTCTGCCGCTTTTGTCATCATGTGCTGATTGCGCTGGGTCAATCTGAAGTGCTCATTAAAATTGTATTCACGAAAGCCTGGGATACACATTACTTGCCCACGGTAGCTTTCTTCCTTTCCGTTTATTTCGTGTGAGCGAATGCAGCGAGGTGAGCGATGAGTGGGGCTATTGTTAGTGGCATTATTGCAGCAGCGGTTTTTATATTTGAAATAAAAACAAACCCAAAATTTTTGGTCGACCTGATTTCTTTAGCCTTTTTGAGCGGACAGTTGGTGCATCCTTGGACTTCAGACTGAACTTCGCACAAGAACTTGCAGAATACGGCACATCCTATGGAAGCCGTGTGGGCGTTGGACGCGGGCGACGTGCCGGGACCGGCGGTGGCCCCAGCCCCGATCCGCCGGGCGCGTCAGGTGGTGGCCTCCGCGGCCCGACAGCGGCCTGGGCCGCCCTCGCACACCTGCTGTCACGATGTCGAGCGACTGCGGCGACTCAGCTGCCGCTGCTGATAGGTCACGACGATAGGTAACACGGTATCGATCTGCATTGGCCCCCCGCCAGGCACGATGGGAGCAAAAAGCTGGTACACCCCAACGTTCGGTATCGCCGGTGAGCCACGTGCCGATTCCGGGCTGTTGTCCCCCTCCTCCCCCCCCCCCTTATTGCCCGACGGAAACGCTTTTTGCAGCGGCTTCAGCGCTTTTTTGTTTGTTCTTGTTTTTTGTAAAAAGTTTGCTTTTTAAGGCATTGGCTGTCCGAAGGCTAACGAATCACTTACGCTGACTAATACGATTTCACTTTACATGTGGTCACGTATACACTGTCATGCTGCACATGTTACATAAATGAGAAATGAGGAATTATGCTGATGCTCTCTTTCAACATAACATATGCTTTGCGTTGCCCGGTTTGTGGCTCGCACCATTTCCAGATTAAATTGAAGCTCACCATCTAAAACGCCTGAAAGGTCCGAGGTTCGGATCTTGAAAACTGCCTTCCATGCAATTCAAATGACACTCTTCGCGCTCAGCAGAACAACACAAGCTCCTGGCATCAGCGCCTCGAGTGATTTACGACAGAAGCACCTCCATGAACCATCCTCGCGTCACGTGCTCGATTTCCAACTGGTTTGCACCAGCTCAGACTGGCTGATTCATGCCACGTGCACCCTTTTAAGCTTCAGCGCCGGCACCAGCTGGATATCCAGTGGTTTTTGCCATTTGGGCCTTGCACGGCACAAGTCCGGCACAAGTTTGCACGGCACAAGTCCGGCACACACGACGGCGGCACGTCTGAGCGGAACGCTCACGGTGTCCGTGAAGGTGTCGTATAATGGGTGGGCAGGGGAGCTGTGACGGAGAAACGATGCCTCCGTGCAACGGCAAATAGCATCAGCCTGTTGGAAGATGACAAATATGGAAGGATCAGGTTAGCCGAGAGTTCCTTCGTCATTCGTGACAGTGGCTGCGGCATACATGAACAATTCGCTCAAGATATTTTTGTGCATAGTTGTTCTTTCCTTTCGGTCAGGAAGGATACCTTTTTAGAGTTGTTCTTTTACCTCATGTTTAGTGTGGCAGACTTGTTGGAATTCATATGTTGTGACATGCGGTCGACATTGTGAAAATAGTGAAAATCATTCGGTTACAAAGCGGGCTCGGTTATGGAAAGGGCTATGATTTGGCTTATGGAATAGACTATGGATAGGCTAAATAGACCTATCCTATAGAAAGGGCTCTGAACACATGAGCCTTGCAGGCCACCCGCCAGAGCCCTTTCTGTAGGATAGGCCTGTTAGGAGTGCGTGTTATTCAATTCTATAGGAGTGTCTATAGGAGTGCTATATATATATATCGAGCCTATAGGAGTGCGTGTTAAGAATTGGTGCCAAACCGGCTGAGCGCCTCGTCAGCGCGCGCGGAGCTGGACTGGGCTGTTCAGATGCACATGCGTGCCATGTGCTGAAAGATCGCAGAGAGTGACTTAGGTCATTAATTATGTTCGTATTAAAGTGCATCTTGTGTGTTATCGAAGTGCGTGTCGCGCGCTGTCTTAGGGCACAAGTTGTCTATGATCCATCAAAAACTTCCTCCCCGGGTAATACGTAGAGCTTAGAGCGTTTTTCAACGATGTTGATGTCATATGCACAGACCTTGGCTTCCCGCTGCCAAGACAGGTTCCTATGCCTCCCTGCTTATAGCAGGCATGACAGGCGTTTCATGGTGCTGATGGCTATCATTATGGCTATGTCCGGCTGAAGTTCGGCGGGACACGACGCCGTCAAACGTGTCCTCTTCTGAGCCACTGAACGCGGCCAACTTACGTCGGACGACCGCGTCGGACGCAGAGCAATGAAAAGGCCAAAATGTTCACTGGTCAGTTACGCATGAGCCATCGCTTCCCTTCGCCACCGCCTGGCGCCGGATCCCCCTCTCGAGCTGACCGCCAAGCATCGTATGGCGAGTGCAGCGGTCCGCCCAGCTCCTGCTGACTCCCCCCCCCCCCCCCGCCAGGTCAGCTGTGGAAGAGTCCGGAACAGCTGCGCTCGCCACCGACAGCGCCGCACCGCTCGCAGGCGGACGACGTGTACGCGTTCGGCATCATCCTGCACGAGATCATGTGCCGCGAGGGTCCGTTCGGCAGCAGCGCGCCGCGCGAGGAGCCCAAACGTGAGCAGGCACCGACCGCCGGGCGCAGAACCCAGGGGGTTAGCTGGAGGACGGACCGTGCCATGCTCACGAGCACCGTCGGCCTCGCATGTCAAAATAGTGTATGGTGGAGGCGCTGCTGCGCTGCAGTCAAGGCATGCTCGGAAATTCCTCTTCATCGTCCTGCTCTGCACACATGGTGTGAGTTTGACCCTCTCCCGACCCTTGACCTACCTCCGCCGAAATGATGAATACGCAAGCTGTTTCCCGCGGCCCATGCTCCACGTCTCGTGTGCGCAGTGCGCCCGCGGCGGAACGCCTCACTCGCCGTGTGCCCGCGGCGGACACCTCACTCTCGTGTGCCCGTGGCGGACGCGTGTATCGCGTGCCCACTGTAGGGACGGGCTCTGAGGCGTCCCTCAGGTGACCGCATTGTCGGCGGGTGACCCCAGTGTCGGCGGGTGACCCTGGTGTCGGCGGGTGACCCTGGTGTCGGCGGGTGACTGCAGTGTCGGCGGCGGGTGATCCCAGTGTCGGTGGGTGACCCCAGTGGCGGCGGGTGACCGTAGTGTCGGCGGGTGACCCTAGTGTCGGCGGGTGACCCTGGTGTCGGCGGGTGATCGCAGTGTCGGCGGCGGGTGATCCCAGTGTCGGTGGGTGACCCCAGTGTCGGCGGGTGACCGTAGTATCGGCGGGTGACCCTGGTGTCGGCGGGTGACCCTGGTGTCGGCGGGTGATCGCAGTGTCGGCGGGTGACCGCAGTGTCGGCGGCGGGTGACCCCAGTGTCGGCGGGTGACCGTAGTGTCGGCGGCGGGTGACCCCAGTGTCGGCGGGTGACCCTGGTGTCGGCTTGTGCTGCAGAGATCGTGGAGCGGGTGCAGGCGGGACCGGGGCCGGGGCCGGACGACCAGCCGTTCCGGCCCTCCATCGGCTGTCTGCGGCCGCCTCCCGACATGCCGGCAGAGTCAGAGAAGGTCAGTTGATGCCGGGTGTCGGACCAGATATCGGTCATGGATGTCTGGAGAGCTGCCGGCTGTCGGGGGCAGGAGGGCTAGGAGAGTTCTCGTCTGGTGGTGGTGGTGGGTGTCATCGGGGTAGATGGAGATTAGGTTCCGCTGAGGGCAGGTTATCTGACCACCATAGCAGAGTGAGGGCCAACGCTCACTTTTGTAAAGCGGCGTCTAATGGTTGCCTAGAGCAGGAGGTACCGCCATCGCCATAATCATTAATGCCTCCTTTCATGAGAAAAAAAGAAAGAATACGTGGGATATGTAGCCATGCAGTTATACGCTGCCATGTCCAGAATCATCGTCTCCATCACCAGCTGTGTCACCTTCTCCGCTCTGGCCCGGCAGCTGGTGGTGGAGTGCATGCAGCAGTGCTGGAACGAGTCTGACCTGGCCAGGCCTACATTTCTGGACGTGAAGAAGATGCTACAGCCCCTCCGCTCCGGACTGTGAGCATGGGCCCAGTGTTCCACTGCCCGATGACACGCCGCCAGGTTATGGCCCGCCGTAACGTCTGGACATTTTGAACTCCCAATTTTTTGCTGTGCATGCCGTGCAGGTTTTGTGCATGCCAGCACTAGACACAGCCAATGGGCCTCTCTTTCCACTCGGAAGTTCTCTCCCGTCCGGACAATGGATATGGCCGCACGTGTCATCTCGGACTTATCACGGTGGGGCTGGCTAATTGGCTGGCTTCGGATCAGCTGTTGAATGACCTCGTGACTCGACTGAGATGCCTGCCTCCTCTGCTCGCCTGCTACTCTCGCCAGCCTGAGAAGTGCCTGCAGTGTTGAGACAGCCTGTTCTCCGTAGCTCTTGGGCCATCTGTGTCATCTATGCGTTGTGAGCTGGTCAGTGGTGCTGAGGCGCTCGTTACTTGTGATCTGGTCAGTGGTGCTGAGGCGCTCGTTACTTGTGATCTGGTCAGTGGTGCTGAGGCGCTCGTTACTTGTGATCTGGTCAGTGGTGCTGAGGCGCTCGTTACTTGTGATCTGGTCAGTGGTGCTGAGGCGCTCGTTACTTGTGATCTGGTCAGTGGTGCTGAGGCGCTCGTTACTTGTGATCTGGTCAGTGGTGCTGAGGCGCTCGTGACTTATGAGCTGTTCAGTAGTACTGAGGCGCTCGTTACGCCAGATCTGTGTGGCGAGCGCTGTCGCTGCTGCTGCTCTGTTATTTGCCATGGATCTGCGCGTGGCCAAAGTCAACAAGAGGTTTCTCAGCGCTCTTCTTTGGGTCATTCGGAGAAAGAAGTAAGCTTTTTGAATGATCAATACGTCAGCTGTTCCCGGCTCAGGTGTAATTCTGTGGGTCGACGGAGCTGACACCACCTCTTCATTAAATGCAGGCATTGCCCTAAGAAGCGTACATCAAGTGTAGGTCAAGTCATGCTACATGATTTGCTGTGTTCATACTTGGTATGCGTTGTCCAGATCTGTTAATCTGGTAAACCAAATGATGGAGAAAATGGAGAAGTATGCGAACAACCTGGAGGATCTGGTGAGGGAGCGCACCCACCTGCTGAATGAAGAGAAGCAAAAGACGGAGGCTCTTCTCTATCGCATGCTGCCACCGTAAGACTTATATAACATCGGAATGTTTTGCTCGGCGTTTTCACTCACTTTAAATCGAGTGTTTTTTGCTAACCTCCACGAGAATCGTTTGCAAAATTCACAGAAAGCACACGATGATACTCACAATTGCTGATTTGTGTTCATCATAGAACGCTTACGTGTTTGATGCAGGTAGATGGGATTGCAACGCACTGGACATTTAAGCTGAGCCGAAGGCGGAAGTGTCATCGAAATTTATGTCATATAGTCCACCGTCAGAGACGGCGCCGCGAGTGGTGAAGGTGAAGCTCTGGGCGGTCAGGTCGCTTGGGCACAGCACGTTCGGAGGCGAAAACTTATAGAACAGCCGCTAGGAGTTGAGCTTGTTTGGGCGCTGGGACGGCAGTCGGTGACCTGCTCCGAGCTGCCAGCAACGTCCGCTCCGCTGAGAGCTGAGCTTGTTTTGGCGCTGGGGCGGCAGTCGGTGATCTGCTTCGAGCTGCCAGCAACGTTCGCCACTTTTAATGACTGGAGTGCGGCGAAAACATCACGTGCGAGCAGTACCGTCCCGCAAGGCCAGAAGTCATGTGTCACATTACAAGTCATAGCACATGATCTTTTTACTCTGTGTATGGCAGAGCGATGTTGTTAGTTTTCTTGTAGCGTGATTATCCACTGGGTATAAAAAGTCTTCCGTGAGGCCGGACGTGTGTGTTTTTACCCGTCTTGGCTGATAGTCGGGGCATTGTGTGCACGCTATTTGTGACTGGTTGTAAAAACACTTCATATCATATCACATCGTTCCACTTTCCGGGCGATAATGTGCCCCTAATATAACTCGCGGTATCTGATTGTTTTGGCCTTGCCGTGCTGGTGCTGTGCCGGCTGACCTGACGATGGTGCTGAACAGGCCCCGTACGCTTTCGATACCGTTCAGTTTTACGGGATACTCCTCCTTTGACTCCCGAGCTCCTGAGCTCTCGAGGTTCCGAGCACCTGAGCTCCCGAGTTTCCGAGCTCCCGAAATCCCGAGCTCCCGAGCTTCCAAGCTCTCGAACTCCCAAGGTCCGGAGTTTTCAAGCTCCCGAACTCCCGAGCTCCCGAGCTCCCGAGCTCCCGAGCTCTCGAGCTCTCGAGTTCCCGAGCTCTCGAGCTCCCGAGTTCTCGAGCTTCCAAGCTCTCAAACTCCCTAGGTCCCGAGTTTTCAAGCTTCCGAACCCCCGAGCTCCCGAGCTCCCGAGCTCCCGAGCTCCCGAGCTCTCGAGCTCCCAAACTCTCGAACTCCCAAGGTCGCGAGCTCCCAAGCTCCGGACTCCGGAGCTCGTCTTTGCCGTGCCCTTCACCCGTCACCGCCGCCGCTGCCGGCCCGGGAGCGTTGCGCCGCTGCCAGGCGGCCGTTCGCCGCGTGACCCCGGCGCCCGGTCTGACGGCGTATGACCCGCCGGCAGGCCGGTGGCGTACAACCTGACCCGGGGTATCCCCGTCCAGCCGGAGACGTTCGACTCAGTCACCATCTACTTCAGCGACATCGTTGGCTTCACACAGATCTCAGCCGACAGCTCGCCGCTACAAGTGGGTCACGCCGGTGTATTCTACCCGCCCCCCTCACCCCCACCCCCTGCACCACCTGTCCGGTAGAGTGCACATGTGTCTCACGAACGGTGGGTTTGTCCCTCCCTCCTAACCCTGTCAAAGCTACTTAGTTCGCAAGTATCCTGCTGTCGGAACCGGGGTGGATGGGGTCTGATCTCCTCCGGCGGAGTTGGAGGCATCCACTCCCAGATGTGACCTCTCCCCCTATCCGGGCTGGTGGTGGCTCACATTTGTCCAGCTGCTGGAGCTGGCGGGCCCCACACGTGACCCACTGCCGGGACTGATCGAGCTTGCGCGTCTCGTCGTGCAGGGGGAGGGGGAGGGGGACGTCCCCGCTATAGGCTCACATATGTGGCGACTGCCGATGGATGAGGCCTCTCCTCTCAGTCGGATTGATGATCTCACGCAAGTGTTTCAGTTCATGTCTCTCTACTTTTTTGTGAACGCACCTGGCAGTGACCTTTCGTGCCTACATCATTGTCGATGGTAGTTTCTGGGTAGACGCGAGTTATAGGCCTTGTTTGTGCTCACTGGAGGCAGGTGGCCGGTGACAGTCACTTTGAGTGTGTGTAAACGGGAGTGTGTGTAAACGGGCCAGCAACATGTGTTCGGGAGTGTGTGTAAGCGGACCAGCAACACGTGTTCGGGAGTGTGTGTTAGCGGACCAGCAAAGGGAGATGATTTAAAGTTCAGATTGCTCTAGCGTTATTCAAAAAAGCCTCACAGAATGGCTGACGTTGAAATTAGGTCATCTTTGTCAAATTGGTCAGCGGCCGTCTTCCACGATTTTGTAAAGATGTGGCCACAGGCCATGCCATCAGTATGGAACAAAATGGAAGGCTGAACTGGGATATCAAACTTCTCGTCGGCATTGTCAAAAATGAGTACTTAAAAATGAGTTTCATAAAGCTCGTTGACTGATGCCGTAAAGGAAGCTGAATGCTGTATGTTTCCGCCTTTGGGCCATCGGTCACCAGCATCTGGGCGGCGAAACTGAAGCTGCTCCTCAGCTTCCCCCTCGCCGGTCCAGGCATGGTCTCAGCTGCCCCCTCGCTGGTCCAGGCATGGCCTCAGCTGCCCTCTCGCCGGTCCAGGCATGGTCACCCAATATTGTCGGGTGTCTGGCTTCACTGCAGTTGGAAACACTCAGATGCTTTTATCTCTCCGGCTTTGGGTAGCTTGAAGTACTCTGGTGTCATGATGCTCTTTGGTGGAAGTCTGATAGATATCGTTGACAGGCTGCTATGAGGTTAGTCATTTCAAAAGCGGACGGATATCGATGATCGATATAAGGTGACACTGCGGCCCGACAAGCCTAGCTGAGACGCCCGAGACGCTCTGAGTGGAAACACGAGCAAGAAAGCCTTATCGACTCAACGTATGAAACAAAGTGGTGCGCACTTACACCCGGTGTGGTCTACGGAGGCGCCGACGCCTGAAGTCCGTCTCCACATGTTGTAACGTGCTCGGTGCCCGCGTTCAAAGCATTATCATACGGTTTGATGATTTGCTCGTGATAGCGCAAAATGGGCCAAGTGAGTATTTTATTAGATTGACATAAAAGATGGCCATGTCAGATCAAAGTAATGATCAGGTGTGTCTCGATTTCCCTCCCTACAACCGACGTGTGAAGCGCGTCGTTGAAGATTATGTTGGCTACCAGCGCTGCGAAATAACTGGAGGACGACACATGAAGCTGGTGCGAGCACAGATCTGGCGAATGCGGGTCGTCCTTGTGATGCGTTTAAGTACAGCTCTTGTGGTCAGCAATGACCTTGTGATGCGTTTAAGCCCAGCTTTTGCGACCAGTAATGACCTTTTCAACGCGATGAAGTAAAAAGACACGTGGAAGGTGAAGTAAGAAGACACGTGGAAGGAGGTAGAAATACGGTAGCACTGTGCTCATCTTGTGTTACCGACTCACTGCGGCTTACACCGCGGGATAACTCCAAGTTCAAGCGTTTACGTCCAAGTGCTTACGTAATCATGGTCTTTGTCCCATTATTGGCTGGACCCGACATTCCGTTTGCCGTTTGTTGGACGCGCGCGCCTCGTTGATCGGATATCTTCGAAACATAGCACTGACGCGTGGAGTTCGCCAAATTGTAAAGAATGTACCTGCTGCGCGGTCTGCAGCGCCATATCAGGGTTTGCCGTGCGCTCTGATGGACCTCCCAAGTACGTTGGCTACAAGGCCTTTTCTTGGCCAAGGGTCACCGCATGCACCCGGTGAGACTGGGGTGACGGGACCGCGGGGTGAAACGGGCTGGTGAGACGGGGGTTACGAGACCGCAGGGTGAAACGGGCCGGTAAGACGGGGCTACGGGACCGCAGGATGAAACAGGCCGGTGAGACGGGGCTACGGGACCGCAGGATGAAACGGGCCGGTAAGACGGGGCTACGGGACCGCAGGGTGAAACGGGCCGGTAAGACGGGGCTACGGGACCGCAGGGTGAAACAGGCCGGTGAAACGGGGGTTACGAGACTGCAGGATGAAACGGGCCGATGAGACGGGGTTACGGGACCGCAGGATGAAATAGGCCGGTGAGACGGGGCTACGGGACCGCAGGGTGAAACGGGCCGGTGAGACGGGGTTACGGGACCGCAGGGTGAAACGGGCCGGTGAGACTGGGTTACGGGACCGCAGGATGAAACGGGCCGGTGAGACGGGGGTTACGAGACCGCACGATGAATCGGGCCGGTGAGACGGGGCTACGGGACCGCAGGATGAAACGGGCGCAGAGGAAGGAAGGGCAGATGAATGCAGGCTGCCCGCGGAATGTTTATGTTTTGCTGAGCTGTGTTTTGATCGAAGGGAAATGTGCCTATGTCTCATCCATTTTATTTGCGATTTCAGGTGGTGGAACTGCTGAACGACCTGTACACCCTGTTTGATGACATCATACAGGGCTATGATGTCTACAAAGTCGAAACAATCGGTGACGCATATATGGTCGTAAGTTGGTCGACCGTTGTGGAACCTTCTGCGTCTTCTGTATCGTTTTAAACTCAGCAATTAATTTTATTTCACAAGTGCCTTTCATCTGGATGCCAACGCGGCATCACATTTGTACACCACGAAATGCTTGTTTTCGCGCAGGTAAGCTAGAAATATGCTGTTTTTTGTTGGTTGCCTGCACTTTTGGTTAAAGTTACATTTTCCCTGCATTTTCCTCCGCGGCTTTCCCTTCATTGTACGCATTGTTATTTTCCTTCGCGGCAGCAGTGTCAGTGGAATTGTACAGGTTTCCTTTCTGAGTAGTGGTAGTAGTAATTGGGACTTTCGGGCGCTTCGACTGCCGGCTGTATGGCATTCATGGTATCCTCTCTGAACTGAATGCAGTCGTGTGTATAATTCTCAGTCGCCATTAGGTCAGTACACTATAAGAGCTATTCCGTTGTTCATTGCATTCGCTAACTTCTTGATTATTAGTGGTGGACGGCGGGAAGTTTTAGATATTTTGGCAAAAAAATAAGGACTCGTGCAAGATTCTGGTCGAAGACTACAGTACGAATCACGTGGCTTCATTAACAATTCATGGGCGAACTGCGCTCTCAGCATAGCCGACGGTTCATTTTTAGGACAGTGCGCCTTAGAAATACGATACAAAACGACAGGTCTTACGATTAACGCTTTAGTGCTACGTTAAACCTTATATATGCGTAACGTTAACCGATGTAGATGTTTAACGTTAAACGCTCTAAACGAGCTTTTTGTCTCGGCGCCTGGCGGATACACGGCATTGGGTCAGCTGATTATAAAGGGTATGCTGTGACATCATTGCGTACTTTGGCAGGCCACCTCGCGCGCGCGGATGAAACTGTTTCCAGAATGAATCTTCTACCATTGTGCTTCGAGAACTTTCACCCACCTGCGTCTTGATCCAGCTCAGTTTTTTATGCAAAACCCCGCACAATCTCTCTATTAACACGCGCTTGGGTGGGGAGGGGTAAATTGACCCCCTAAGGTTCTTCCAGAATGGTTTCTGAACGGCGCCAAATTTTGCATAGCTGTAGACAATTGAATAGCAGATCGTTTGACAAAAAATTGGATGTGATTTGTGAGGTTGCTGACATCTGGCAGGTCAAAGTCAGGCTATGGTCTCAGCGAAGTCCGTTTCTGGAGAATCGTTCAATCTGATGCAACAACGTAGTATTAGGCGAAGCCATACATCTCCGAGATGCTTCCTCAGGTAACAAAAGTATTGAAGGAGCAAATTATGTTGACCTTAGGTCAGGTATGAAGGTCAGACTAAGGTCATAGCCAACCTGTTTTATTACACTATGGCTTGCTACATGGAATATTTTCTGGTGCTCGTTCCAAATTTACTGATAGCAGGAACCGCGTTATACATCTTCCATGGACTTCTTAGAGGTCAGAGTAAGTCATTGACATAAAAGGACCCAGGCCAACGTTTTGTTTTTACAAACATGCTGCTAAGCGTAATCTGTATCGCTTATTCAAATACAAAGTTCAGAGCAGTCTTCCATCATTTTGGTCACCATGACCTTCAAAAGGTCAAAGAAGGTCACTGACCTTAGTGGAGCATGTGATCTTTTGCTTAGGAACAGTTATCTAGGTTGTGGGGACACTTCGGAGACCAATCTGGAATTTGACCTTGTTTGACCTTATTAGAGCCAAAGATTGCAACCTAGGAACCTCAAACTTTGACTTAAGTGAGTTCACGTATAGGTCAATACACCCTGAAAATTTGGTGTCTCTAGCTCTCCTGGTTCCCGAGATCTTAGGGGGGCCAAATTGACCCCCCACCAGAGCAAATGGTATCTAGCAGGCCACCCGGACGCGTGTTAAAAGTGATGTTACACAGTATTATCGGTCTATGATACTGCTTCCAAACACAGATTTTGCTAGGACTGAGCCAAAATTCCTGCTAAAGCTCCGAATGCCTGTTGCCTGTAAAACTCGCAGAAAACGTGTTTATATGTGCTCTACCCGGCTGCGCATTCAGTATCATGTTCAGCAGCTACTGACTCTTTCTTTTGCCGCTAGGTGTCAGGTGTGCCCGAACGCAATGGGATCCGGCATGCGGGCGAAATCGCCTCGATGGCGCTCAGCCTGCTCCAGGCGATCCGCAAGCACACGATCCAGCACCGGCCCAGCGAACAACTCAAGCTGCGCATCGGGGTGCATACCGGTAGGTGGTAGGTGGGGGGGGGGGGGGGAGGGGAGGGACCGGGGGGGGGGGGGGGGGGGCGCTAGAGGCCTGGATGGACTGGGAGCTTCAGGCTGTGAGCCATTGCCCCGACTGGGGCGGAGGTCCCTCAACAGAGTTTGGACCTATATGGGCCCAGTAAGGAGGGCCAAGTTTTGAGGCGGCGATCTATGGCGTGCTGCTCGCTGAACTCCGTTGCACCAGGAGAAGGCAGGCCGGCTGTAATCTTCATCATCCACCCGTCATGGAGGCGGTGTCAACGTCACCAGACAGCATCGTCACATCCAAACTGCATCTTAAACTATTCCGTGCTGTTCTGCGGCCTCTCCGCGCCCCCAGTGATTCCCTGTGACGTAAGGTCCGGCGCCACGCCGCGGACCCCCCCCCCCCCCTACCCTCCCCGCAGGTCAGGTGGTGGCCGGCGTGGTGGGACTCACCATGCCGCGCTACTGTCTGTTCGGCGACACCGTCAACACCGCCTCGCGCATCGAGTCGACCGGCGAGCCGTTGCGCATCCACATATCGGACCGGTGTCACCGCACGCTGGCGCGCCTCGGCGGCTACCGGACGGAGCCGCGCGGCCCCGTACCCATGAAGGGCAAGGGTCTAGTGGAGACGCACTGGCTGCTGGGCGCCGACGCCGGCGCTGTGCAGCGGCGGCGTGTCGACCTGCCGTCGCTGCCACCACTCTTCTCGCGCAGCAGCGTGTGTCACGGCACGGCGGCGCAGTGTGCGTCCACCCTCAGTTTGCCGAGCGAGCGCACCCGCGGCTCGGCGGCGGCGACCTGCGGCGCCCCGAGTCCGGCGCCATCGCGGTCGTCGGAGCGCCCGAACCGGCTGGCCGTGCCGCGCTGCCTCCACCGACCGAACGGACTGCCGCCCATTCGGGAGTCGCGCAGCCTGGAGAACTTCCGGCCGGCGCCGCGGCTGTCGGCGCCGCCGCACCGGCGCGACTCCCGCTCGGTCGGCAACTGTCGCGACCTTGGGCCGCCGCAGGACGCGCCCGGCGAGGTCCAGCCGCTCATACCGAATCCGCGCCTGCTGCAAATGCGGCTGGCGTCCCAGCTGGAGTCGGCCGCGCTGGCTGATGAGGAGGAGGCGGAGGAGACGGAGGGTGAGGAGGCTGGTGGCGGCGGCGGCGAGGCAGCAGGGGAGGAGGCGGTGGTGGTGGTGCCGCTGCCGCCGGCCGCCGCGCCGCCCGCCTGGGACTGCCTCAAGGACTGGTTTCGGCGCTTCTTCAGCCGTCACCGACTCGAGCCGCCCATGCCGCTCAACGGCAAGCTCAAGCACAACGGCTACAGCCTCCACTCGAGCCACGACACGGCCGTGTGATGCGCCGCGGCTGGGCGACCGCGGCGCCGCCGTGTGATAGCCCTGGAGACGGCGGTCGGCAGCGGGGCTGGCGCGACGCTGGCCGGCCCCGCAGCGAGGTCCGGCGCCGGTGTGCGCCCCGTTCGTTTGAGTGCCATGTGGCTGTGGTCCGGCTGGGAGGAGCCCGACCGGCGCGGGCTCCCGCGCCGCGGCGGCAGGGACAACACGCGCCGGGGCCCGCGCGCGCCGGCGGCCCAGCGGGGTGTAGGCAGTTCCATAGTGTTCATGAGGAGGCGGCGGCGAAGCGGCCGCCCAAGTGCACATCTCATCACACACGATATTTGTCACGAAGTTGTTGTTTGATGTATTTACCTGTGCTGCCGTTTGTTGTATTTGCAGCATGTTTATTGTAATTAATATATCATGATCATCCACACCAGTGGCGTGGTGGCCGCGGTGGTGAGTTTGAAAATTCCATGAGGTGATAGCGTGAATGAAATGCAATAAAGTTTCAGGCGCAATATAGTTCAGAGGCTATGTCACACTTGGCACTACGTCACGCGTGAGCAATGCTGGATGGAATTTGGTTTCCAAACGTTAATAGTGTACACACTGAACGTCCATCCGTCCGTTGTGGGGCAGCCTACAGGCTCTACCAGACTGATCAGCTGGTACTTTTCAAGGGATCGCAAACACTGCGAAGCTGGTGCCTAGAACAATCTTTGATCGTCCTCAAAGGTCACAGGCCAGCTGACTTTAGGCACCTACACAGAGCCTCTCGGTCGAACACACTGCAGAGGAACGGTGCGTGGCATGACAGCGTCCAGCTTACATGCATCAAAGCGCCTTGTCAAGTGGGTGATAGCTTCCGACTGCTGCTTAGCATCATCAGCTGGCCGCAGTGAGACCCGGAGTCCCCGTTCCTCACAGTACTGCCGTGGCGACGATGAGGCGCGTCTTTCGTTTCGTGATATTGCTTCTAGGAGCAGCCTGTTTTGTTGGCCGTTCGTAGCTTTTGAGGTTCACTGTAGATTAACAGAACTTGCGGCAGATTCTGCTCTAGACATACACACTGAGGTCCCCTAAGCGGACAGAGCACTGTGGAGACTTTGTGGTCAGCAGTGCAGCAGGCTAATGCTTTGACAGGAAATCGTTTGCAAGGAGACAAAACATGAACGTTTCGAGCGTCCTACGTCGATTCCATTCCTGGTGTCACCGGAATGTCAGTCCATCCCTGGCGTTACCCGGAGGCGTCATTCTTGGGAAAATCGACGGATGGGAATTGAAAATCATGCGGTGGAGCTTGGCCGGTGCGGCATTTTGATGTACGCATTTGAATAGTACATCTTAAAAGACCATGCATCCTTAACATTAAGAGAATATCGGTTGGAATATTGCACTCTACTGTAGCGAGCTGTGTGTGGCAAGAGGTGACGATGATGTGACGCACTGCAGCTGTTAGGTATTTTGCCGTTTTGCTGGGAGTGAGTTCACCGGTCATGTTGCGTTGAAAAATTAGACCGATGAGGCGTAGACTTGGCATCTTGTAAAGAACGCTGCTCCAAACACCGGCCTTGCAGGAAGGTGCTACTTTTGCGCGCTTGCGCGAGGCCAGACGTGCCCACGTGCGCGCGACTGACCAGGAATGCCCTCCAGGGGTGATGAGACGTGACGTCCGTTACCGGCGCTGTGCCGCAGCTATCACCGCCACACACACCTAACGGCCGCAGGCTAACGCCGTCACACACCCAACGGCTGCAGTTAACCCCGCCTCACACCTATCGGACGCAGCTAACGCCGCCACACACACCCAACGGCCGCAGCTAACGCCGCCACACACACTCAACGGCTGCAGCTAACGCCGTCACCCATACCCAACGGCCGCAGCTAATGCCACAACACACACCCAACGGCTGCAGCTAACGCCGCCACACACACCCAACGGCTGCAGCTAACGCCGCCACACACACCCAACGGCCGGAGCTAACGCTGTCACCCATACCCAACGGCCGTAGCTAATTCCGCAACATACACCCAACGGCCGCAGCTAACGCCGTCAACCATACCCAACGGCCGCAGCTAGTGCCGCCACACACACCCAACGGCCGCAGTAAACGCCGTCACCCATACCCAACGGCCGTAGCTAATGCCGCAACATACACCCAACGGCCGCAGCTAACGCCGTCAACCATACCCAACGGCCGCAGCTAGTGCCGCCGCACACACCCAACGGCCGCAGTAAACGCCGTCACACACACCCAACGGCCCCAGCTGATGCCGCCATGTACACCCAACGACCGCGTGAAATGCTCTACGAGCCATGAGAAAACTACAGCAGCAGTCCTGACAACCGCAGCCGCTGAAATGCGACCCTCGGAAGATAACGCGCAACAGACAGCCGGAGCCTGCCTTGACTCGGACGCGGAACATGTGAGCAAACAAAAGTTTGAACCGTGACTGAAGATCGCATTGTGATAGCAAAACCCACATGGCGAAAGAGATTGGGTTGTGTTGGGTGAGTACACCAGGTTTATTCCGGTTTATTTCGATTGGGTCAGGTTATGCTGAATTAGTCAGAACTAGACTGCGTCAGGTTTATAGCGTACTACTCAAGCTCCGTTAACGCTATCAGCACTTGCCTTCAAGTTAATTAGTATTCCGAAGGCGACTTGAAACGACTTCATGTAAAGCTTTTGCCGATTGCAGTTGGGTCAGGTTGGGTGACGTGTTCGTCCGCCCTGTTTCATTTGAAGTCCTTGGCAATCCGAGTCGGGCTTAGGCGCCATGGCAGTAACCAAACACGGCATCGAACTCACGCAATTTAACAGTGGTTAACCCATGACTAGGCATCGGGCTCCCGATACAGGGATTCCGACTCGGGCTCAGGTCCGTGGGTTAAGACACATGCTGGCTGCGTAGAATAGACAGCAATGCTCCTCATACGAGCTCTGTGTTTACAACATACCTGAGTTGTGAGGGAGGCTGGGATCCCGGACCGTCGTCCCGTCGGCCGCGATATTGGGATCCTGGTCCCGGTTGGCCTGAAGGGTGTCTGTCCTGCACATTTTGTGTAACCGCTAAGAAGGCTTTCCTTCACTGTCTGACTGAGCACTGAGATACTAAATACAAGATGAAAGAAGTCGGTTGTAAATAATGTGTCGTAGTAAGATAGACGCCGCTTACCTGTGCCAGCATAAACCGTAAACCTGGCAGACACGTGTATGGAACCGTTCTCAGAACTTAGCATTTTCGCGTGATCTGCCGACTACCCGGCAGTTCCCGTGGTTTGTACGCGTCGCCGGCGGGGAGCCACGGTCAACATTAGCGGCGTAGTACTCCCACGGAGGTATTCTCACGCAGCACCCTGACGATGGGCGTGGGTCCTGCGCTGCACACCAAATCATATAAAAAGTGGATCCGGTATCTGCTTTCACGCGGAGAAGCGGACCAGCCGGCCAAGTGGAGCGCCGCAGGAGCGCAGTTTGGCAGGGCGGCGTCGGTTTCCATGGTCCCCATTCTGGGCGGTGTCATCGGCCGCGATAATGTGAGCGTGCGGCGGCCGTCGCGATGTCGGTGAGAACTAATTGTGGTGGTCAGCGAGAACTTACTGTGGTGGTCAGCGAGGACTTACTGAGGTGATCAGCGAGAACTTACTGTGGTGGTCAGCGAGATCTAACTGTGGTGGTCAGCGAGAGCTGGCTGTGGTGGTCAGCGAGAACTTACTGTGGTGGTCAGCGAGATCTAACTGTGGTGGTCAGCGAGAAGTTACTGTGGTGCTCAGGGAGAACTGGCTGTGGTGGTCAGCGAGAACTGGCTGTGGTGGTCAGCGAGAACTGGCTGTGGTGGTCAGCGAGAACTGGCTGTGGTGGTCAGCGAGAACTGGCTGTGGTGGTCAGCGAGAACTAGCTGTGGTGGTCGATACGATAAGAGAAATGGACGCAAAGTCCATGCGTCAGTGTGATGTTTCGAAGACATCCGACCAGTTTCCCACACGCAAGCACGTATGGACAAACGGCAAACTGGTCACCTGTGGCCAGCTAATGTGGCGAAGACTACGACTGCAAACGTCGCAAACGTTTAAACTTCATTGAAGTAGGTACGTCGCAACAAACAGACCACGGAAAGCGCTCATCACATTTTCATGTACGAACCATGTCTCACAAACTCCGGCACCTGCCGAGGGCGTGCGGCTGCCGTCGAATCTGAGCTCCGTCTCGGCTGGCCTCGCAGCCAGCAGTTGGCAGCGCCGATCGCTGGGAGGCCAGGTGTTCTGATCACGGGCGTCATGCACCGGTTACGCCAAGAGACGATTCGTACTCAACGACGGAAATTAATATTCGTTAGACTCGGACCATCCATCACCGTGGCCATGCACTGCCCGTGCCGTTCCCGCTCCCCCCCCCCCCCCCCCCGCCTCCTCCCCCTGCAGATGTTGCTCAGTGTAGTACCGTAATATCCGCATTTATTGGAGATTTGGGGAAGCCGTATAACAGAGCAGCAATAAATGTGCGCCTTGTATTAAACGTGGGTGTTTCGTTTTAATCTCGGGTGGAGTGTTTCGTTTTTCAGGTCATGAGAGGTCTCGGGGCTACCGGACATCACTGAATATTGATGATATACCCATAAATTAGTGGAAGTTAATGTCTTGCACACCGTTTCTCCCATGTCATTTATAGTGACTTACTTCGCCACCTGCACCCGTACCCTGTCCGCTACACCCGTTCCCCGCATCGGTCTTACTGCACCATGCCGTGCTGCTCCACGGAAGCCTCTACACCTCTTCCCTCTAGCCTTCTTGCACGCATTTGAACAATGACACTCCTTTCTGCACCTTTTCCCATCGGCTCCACTGAGATCCCCACACTCGTTCCTCTCGTAGCGGCTGTTCAGCGCCTTTTCCAAGCGCCCGGCTTCTCTCATGCCGTCCTTGCATCCCTGCCCATCGCCCGGATACTTTCGTGCCGTCCTCGCACCCTTGCCCATCTCCCGGCTTCTCTCGTGCCGTCCTCGCACCCTTGCCCATCGCCCGGCTTCTCTCGTGCCGTCCTCGCACCCTTGTCCATCGCCCGGCTTCTCTCGTGCCGTCCTCGCACCCTTGCCCATCGCCCGGCTATTCTCGTGCTGTCCTCGCATCCTTGCCCATCGCCCGGCTTCTCTCGTGCCGTCCTCTTTGCACCCTTGCCCACTGTCCCACTGCGCCTGGGCCCAGCTGTTGCCGTGGCGCGGCGGCCGGCGGCGGTGTCGGCGGTGTCGGCTTTGTCTCGGCGGCGGTCAGCGGGCCGCCGCGTCACCTGAGCGGTCGGCGTGGGCCGCGCTGGCCCCGATCTGTGACGGCGACGTCCTGCAGATGGCGCTGCCGGCAGCTGCCGTCGGCTTCTCCGGCCCGACGGCCGCCGGTCGCCGCAGTGACGCGCGTGCCCGCCGCACTGAGCGCCAGACCGGCGGGGGCGGCACGAGTCGGGTCAGGCGGAGAGGTCTGCCGGTGTCGGGGGAGGTCGGCAGCGGCCGGAGAGTGTCGTGTCCAGCCGGCGGCGACCGGACGGGCCAGGTCGGATCGACGGCGGCTCGACAGTGCCTGTCGCGTGACTGAGGGTGTCAAGACAGGCCAGTGTTGCCCGATTGATACGGGCGAGGTCGGCGGTAGCAGTGTAGCATCGTGTCAGGACTGCAGTGGCCCACAGCATCAGACGAGGCCCACGGGACACGCTCCGGAGGTGAGCCCCAGAGGAGGCCGACAGGACCCGCTCCGGAGGTCAGCTCCAGAGGAGGCCGACAGGACCCGCTCCGGAGGTCAGCTCCAGAGGAGGCCGACGTGACCCGCTCCGGGGTCAGCTCCAAAGAAGGCTGACCCTGACCGCGCCGCCGACCGGTGTCGGGCGCGTCAGGCCGCTGACGCGGCTGGACCTCATGGTGCGCCGGGCTCCGGCCAGAGACCGTCCACCAGTGCTGACACCGACCAAACACTGCCTACCAGTGCTGATGACTGGCGCCATGCTGACCGACTGTGACCCGACCGTGACCCGACGCTGATCACTGACCCGAGCGGTATCAGCCGTACAGGGCCCGCCCGATCCGCTAACCCGAGGTCGGCCCCGGCAGTGCGGTCCAACGCGGACGGTGGAGGCCCTAAGCATCGGGACAGGGAGAGCGCAGTAGAATGCAGTGGACGTTTCCGACTACCGTGCTGCTCCTGCTGCTCCTGACACAGAGAATCCAGGCCAACTTCATGTTACAGCGGCTCTCCAACCTCCTCGCTCAGAACAGTGAGTCAGCTGCATGTCCTGCCCTAGGTTCGCAGCAGGCATCAGCGCAGTCCACTGCCGAAACCCCTGTCACATGGCCGTCCAGCATTATAACGGCATCAAAGGAACGCATAGCACTATTGAAGCTTGCCACGACCCAACACGGTCAATTAGTCACGCACCGGGCTCGTCGCGTACACATTCGTCCCTTTGATTCCCAGAAGTACCCATAGGTCCCCAGGCAGGTATAAGGCTGATTCCCAGATGAGCCCGCAGTAGCTCAGGTATATTGCTGTCATTGGCATCGATTTTATTTGGTATATGGAGCTTAATGTCCCGAACTTAATAACTTATCCCAATGTGCTTCAAAGAGTCGAGTACCTACTGTGAATAATGCTTCCAGCCGGATCTTGGTCGCACACTGCAGTAACTGTCACCTCCCTTCGTCTGACCTTTGGGGGTCAAACTGTAACGTGAGACGTGAACTATTTCCGTGTCATAACACCACATCGCGCAGCTTCCGCAAATACCACAAGTCGCTTTGGTTCCTCGGTCCTGAAAATACCTCCGAGCCGACCTGAACGAACACAACTGACCGTAACGCCGTCGTCCGCCCGACCCAGGAGGGGATACCACGCATGGGGAACGTCATCCATCACACCAGTCATTACCGGCCGCCTCGGAAGACACACTCAGCTTCCGACACCAGCTGATTAATGTCATTGCTCCACTTTACGTCACATTGTGCTCCGTAAATCGTTCAGCTTTGAGAATGAACGTTTGCGATAACATTTGCAGACGGCTTAATCCCATAATATACCGCCCTGCAATAGGGATCTGACTGAAATATGACTGGCTGCTCAGTGAATGATGCTATCTTGCAGCAGTCTGAAAGCATACAATATTTCAATTTCCTATGGTGTTCGATATGTGGCGACTCCTTGGTATTTTGTGGCCGCTACAGGGTGCAGCCGTACAATCGCTGTATTGAGGGTGTGTGGCCGTAGTGTCCATACGACCTCCGCGGTGGGGGGGGGGGGGGGGAGAGGACGGCACGCTTCACAGCTCAGAACAGCACTACTGCTTTCCTCCGGGACCGCACGTCTGTTGTGTGATCTCTGTATGACTGTGTATGGTCTCGGTGTGACTACAGCCGTGAAGCGAGCGGTGCTCTGCCTCCGCTGTCATCTGAGGTACATTCGCGTCCTCAGTATGACCTTAGTGTGACATTAGTGTGACTTCGTTCGCTTAGCGCACGGCACTCTGCTTACCACTGTTGCGTCTGAGGTGCGCTTGGGGTGGACTTGTATGGCCACTGCGTGACCTTTGAGTGACCCCTGTGACCTCTGCGGATCGGGAACTCCCTGTACGACGCTATTCTGGGAGGTACGCCGACGCCGTGCGACCTCCGTGTGACCTTCTTGCGGCTGCAGCTTCGCAACGGGCGCTGTTCTGCTTGTCTGTCCTCGGAGGCTCGCGCCCTCTGTGTGACCCCTGTGTGACCCTTACGCGATGGCACCTGGGGAGCTAACGGTGCTTTGCCGGCCGCTGCTCTCTGAGGCAAGAAGCCTCTATGATTTCGGTGTGTCTGCAGCTGTCAAATGAGCAGCGCTGTGTCCGCCGCTATTTTCTGAAGTGCGTGGCCGCTGTGACCCCTGTGACCTCTGTGTGACCGCAGCCGTGGAGCGGGCGGCGCTGTGTCCGCCCCTGTTCTCGGAGGTGCGCGGCCGCTGCTACCACTACGGCTCGTTCCTGGCCAGCTGGTTCCGGGCAGCCGAATATTGTCACAGCATGGGAGAGCATGTCAGCCTGGCCTGCGTGGACGACTCGGTCGAGAACTGGGCCATTAAACGCTGGCTCCTCTTCAACGGTGGGCGCCGGCGTCGACTGCAGAGCGCGTCGCGGAACATGAACCAGGAGCTTAGCAAACATGTCCCGGTGTCGGCTCCCAACACCGCCGTGAAAATTATTGGCATCGTATCATCGTCAGTAGCTGCTTCATGTCAGTCCCTGTCTGAATGGAACGCGTCTGCTTCATTCGACTGCACTAATAATGGGTGTAAGACAGGATGTTGAATCACTTTGTGGTGATTTGCCGAGTTCACTAACGGGATCGGTGTGATGACCATTTGCGGTCCTGCTTCGCTCGGAGCGCTGACAGCTACGTGCGCGCTTTTCGTCCCGGCCTCGGTCATGTGGCCGCGGACGCGTCGGACTGTAATGAGATCACAACCCGCAGGCGATCACAAGACGGGCGCGTGGATAGGAGGATCGGACAACGGCCACCACGGCATTTGGGCCTGGTTTCCGACGGGTGAGTCCGCGGAGCGCCGGCGTGGAAACCGCTCCCCGGGTTATCTCCGGACCCCCCACCAAGCCTAGGTCAGACCATGTCAGCCGACACATGGCACACATGTGTCGCCTCGAGAGCTGTCCGCCTGACTTCCTCCGTGCGTCGGAGGTGTGGCTATACACCATTCGAACAAAGCGCGCCGTCACTCTGCACCCCTGCACCGTCACGGGCATCGTCACTCTGCACTCCTGCACCGTCACAGGCACCGTCACCCTGCACCCCCTGCACCGTCACGGGCGCTGTCACTCTGCACCCCCGCACCGACACGGCACCGTCACTCTGCACCCCCGCTACCGTCACGGATACTGTCACGGACGTCGTAACTCTGCACCCCTGTACCGTGACGGTGCAGGGGTGGGCCGACCGCACCGTCGTGTGCGGCCGACCGCGTCGGCCACCTTTGAGAGGGCGCCGAGTGTTGTCAAAAGACTTTACTGGTGAATCCGCGCGCCCACTGTCCCGCTGCTTGTGACCTACAGCGGTCGCGGTCCGCTAATGACCCGTGACTTGTGCGTGGCAGGTCAGCAGGTGCGGTTCGCCGACTGGGGGCCGTCGCAGCCCACCGGCGGCGATCAGCACTGCATGTACATCGTGGGCGGCATGCTGGGCTACCAGTGGGCCGACCTACACTGTGACTTCGAGATGAACTTCATCTGCGAGTACCGTGCCAACCAGGTCACGCCGTGGTGGCGTTAGACCGGCGATGGGCCGGTCTGGAGGAGCCACCCCGTCCAGCAGGAGCCTTTCAACTGACCTGGCGTAACGGCTCCCCCACAGACGACTAGCACGCACCCCGGAGCGGCGGCGACAGCGGCTCCCGCTGGATTGGCGGGAGCCGCACTGCTCCCTCTGGATTCCTGTGCGTTCGTGACGGGTGACCGGTGGCCGACCGCGGGCCGATGGCGTCGTGGCGGGCTGCCTGTGGCCGAGTCCTGGCCGATGGCGTCACGCCGTGGCCGGCGGACGGACGCCGCGCTGTAATGGACGCTCGGCCACGTCCAGAGACCGTACCGTGACGCCGTGGGACGGGGCCGTGGCGCCCTGAGGCCGCAGTGCGACGCCCTGGGACTAGGGCGTGATGTCCCGGGTGTAGTAACATTCCACTGACATCAGTAGGCCGTGTTCTGGTGCAGTGACAAACAATTTAGCCATGCCTCACCGAGAAGCCCAGATTCCAGCGGCGGCTGGTTTAACCGTGCGTGTCTCTGGCGTCTTGGACAGCGATCGCTTGGAGAATTTAGCTGACTATAAAGATGGACGCTGGACAGGTGCTGCCGTACCGACAGCTGACAGCTCTGGGTGACGGATGTGAGTGATAGACATGCTGGACGTGCCGGAACGTATCACTATGAGTGTGGTGATGCACTGTCTTGACGCTGTCCGCACGCAGGGGCATGTGCACGTAGCAACCCCCCTGGCACGTGCACATCCGTTGACAAATATTTGACATACACGGGTAAAAGCAAGCAAATCGTGAAGATGCAACGATTTTCGCAATGCACAAAACATTGCAATCTCCTGACAAACACCGAACATGATTCTCAGTGCTACTTTTTTAATTCTGACATTTAAATGTGACCTTTGCATTGTGACACCACGTGAACCTCCCCCCCCCCCCCGCCGGTCCGGCTTCTCCGGGATGCAGTGGTGGACAAAACCATGTGTTCATTGACGACGTCATAAGTATGTTGTGCATCCTAAGGGCTACTTTCTCGGCCTGATGTACATCTGATGGGATAGCATTTCCCTGCCTATGTAGCCGATATGATAAAAAAGTGTCGACAATTATTATACAAACAGATTGCTTTACACCCAGTGAGATCTTCCGCCGCCTCCGTGGTCCGGTGGAAAGATGCTGGACCCGTATTCCAGCGGCACTGGTTACGAGCCCCAGAGCGGGCGCATTGTTTGGCCCGACTGAAATGGGAAGGTCAACTGGGAACTGGCCAACGAGGGTCAACCCTGGCCCAAGGCGGCCGTGTCGCAACATAACGCGGCACATGAAACCCCTCCGCATTCCTGTCTGGCGTCAGGACGGAGGCAAAATTATCCGTTGAACTGGACGGTGCGACTCGGGTGGTGGGCTCAGGGAACACGCAACAAGCTATGCTTAGCAGGTTCCATGACCCCATTCACCCGTACAAGCTATTAGGGATAAATTATAAAAAACAGATTCGGCATCGACTCCGAGGAACCATCCTTGCTTCTATACCTAAGTAGTGTATCACAAGGCTGTCATATGCATCAATAGATCGCAAGTGTGTCAGCACTAAAAATAGGCTCCAATCTACCCTGCTTTTCGTGCCTGAGCCCGTTAAAAGTGCCTCTTTCGACCTCTCTTTGGCTTCGGAACGCCGCGCTGGATGAGAGCTCGCCCGTGAAGAACTGAGGCGTCTTGTTTAACAAGCACATGACTCGAGGCTTTCATGAATCTGCGCTCGTGCGAAAATCTAACGGCCGTCTCCCACGTCCGCTGGCGTTCAACTATGACCGGCTCTGGGTCGCGTACAGGAAGGAGTGTTTTTTTTAGCGTTGGTCTCGGCGTTCGAGCGAGCGCCTTACTCGCGAACTTCACGTTTCGGGCCAGACAGCATGTATGTTTGTATACATGTACAGAGTACGTGCGGAGGTCGACAATAAATATTGTGCAAGATCTGACCACGGTTGAGACAAGACGCACAATATGCCTCAGTTTCCCTCACACTAATGGCATGTACACCGGCGAAACGTTGGTTCCCACGTTCCAAAGTGGGTTGGTTCAGTGGGTTGTTCAATTTTTCACCGAACTATCGCTTCGGTATCCAGTGAACTCACCAGGGGGCTCATCCCAACCTTGCGGCCGGGGACAGGGCGCAGCAGAGGGCGTCACAGTCACTGAGCGATGCTCCCGGGAGACGTGCGGCCTCCTTGCCAGCAGAAAAACGAAATCACTTTATGGTATTGAAAGCATGACCCACTCGTCCCCGCCTGATCCTTAACGAGGGTCGATGGACCATTTAGCACCGTGGTAAAACTACATAACATTTCCCCGGTGACTGAACCGATGCTACCTTCTTGATTGTAATCTGATGGTGAACGTTAACGCAGATGGAACATAATTTACAGCATTCCGGTACGACTGCAGCCGGCCGTCGCACTCTACAATACAACGGTCAGAAACAAGAGTAAGTCTGGTAGAAATCAGTTGGCCTTCAGGGGAGCAGGAATTTACCACAGAGAATAGCACTCCTGTTACCAGTTACAATGGTTCGGGCATTCACTCCTAGTGGCAAAGGTCAAAATTTGCAAGAATACGTGCGCAGCGGGATGCGGGCTACAACAGCACGCCATTTTATGCTGATGCCAGTCTTGTCCAAATAAAACAACCTCCAAAAAGTACAGGACTAAACTATGTTGTTCTCATTTAACTGCGGAGTTGTGTGCTGGCATTACGCCGTTGCTCCATTACAGCCTGCTGTTAGAAATGCAGATGCAGCACGGTGCACACAATCTACGTACACACATAGTGTAACAAGTACGCGAATGGAACGAAGCCCATGATACTTCCTCGAATAAATGCGGTCCAAGACAACTGTACGCGTAATGACTTCTCTCTGCGCTTAAATCGCAACGTTGCGCGCATCTTGGATGATATCACCACCCACACCGCATTTTGTATAAATTCGATGTTGTTCCAAGATACAAATACGGTTGCCTTCTTGCTGTTGCTAGAATTGTACCTGGCGTACGTGGTGGTCGCTGCTGGCCCCTGGCCTCGGCCAGAGCTTCCTATTCCTCCGACTCCTGAACGGACGTCACCCCCGTTGTTCGCTGTTCTCAGTTGTGGGTGCCCATCACATCAGTTGATATTCTGCGATGCTCCAATCCCGTTGAAGTAGATGCTGTTGATGCTAGACCTCACCGACACCCTTTGTCTGGCCTTGTTTATCCACCAGCTTAGAAATCCGGAGCCAGCGCAGTTAAATCAAGGCGATCTCAGCAACAACACTACCTGCTCCAGCTGTTTAGTCCCATTTAGTCGCATGTTTTCAACCGATCATGTCCGCGCGTTTGTGCTGTAAGCTGTATATAACTTACACACATAAAGTTCGGTATCTCATTCGGAGCTCACTCAGACAACAGAACCCCGACGCGATCCCGGAAAACGTTCCGCAGAGGCTCTGAAACGCGACCCGGCGCATTACTTCAGCCAAGTGGCACGTGCAGTCGACGCCCGGTACCAGCTGCCTCGAAGACTTGGATCTGTCTTACCAAGTCTTCAACTCCGGATTGCCGCATGCAAGAAAACACGCATGTCGCGGCCCACGGTTTTCAGAGGGTCTGCTATTTCTCCTATGGGGTCCCATCTCACTTTTATGGCCTAACGACGGCCTGCTACGATAACCCGAACGGTGGCCTAAACGACCTGCTCCTGCAACCACCAATCGGCTTATGACAACAAAAAGCAGCCGCACGACCGAAATGTGAAAGCTGTTTGCTTTATTGGGTCTATGGTCTTGAGCTATGCTTACAACACGCACGCGCACACGCACACACACGCACGCGCACACGCACATCATACAGGCACGCACGCACGCACGCACGCACGGACGCACACACGGACAACAATGCAACCCCGATAATTAGAAGTATGGCGTCGGAAGCTGGGTCGATTTAAAAGTAACCATGTCTCACTTGCATCTCCGCTGTATGAGAAAAGGTCGCGTCCGATAATGGGTATCAGTCTGTTGACTGGCGTATACAACATCACGCACTCAGTGTTGAAAATAAAAGTGCAGTGATTCAAACACTAACCATGCTTCTCCATGCATGGGACTATATATACACGCCACTAGTCCCGAGAAGCATCGTAAAGATTCCCAAGGCCTTTCGGTGTCGCGTATCACTGGGATATGAAACGGTCACGCCCTTTCAGAACATGATTAACATCCTATACCTTGGCACTGTTCAAAAACCCACAGCACACTGCACGTCATCACACCCAGTGCCCTGTCTGCCACCCCAGGCCAGCTAACGGAACAGTGAGCAGCCTCCGTCCTGCGTCAGGCAGGCTCACATCACCTAGTGTTAGCAGTAAACCGCCACGACTCAGGCTTTGGCAACACTCCCGCTACTCCGAGAAAGCCAAGCGTCCACCTAAAGGATAAATGTGGGTCACCAGCACCACGGTGGAGCTCCCAGGCCACACCAGGACCCGGTGGAGTCTCACAGACGACCCCGGCGCATCTTGAGGGTCCTACAGCCCGCAGCGGCGTCCCTCTGGCGTCACCCGGCCCGCCCCGGCGCCTCTCCGAGGCTTTGGCAGCCGGCACCGGTGTCTTTCCAATGTCCGACTGCCCCTTCAGATGTGCAGCTCGGCTGCGTCGTCCAGTTGGCCTCTGTAGCGCTCCAGTACCGGCGCCACCTCCTCCGCCAAAACTGCGTCACCTGGAGCGGAACGGCGCGTCACCCCCCCCTGTCCCCTGGTCCGGTAGCCACACCCCTCACCTGGAGCGGGCGGCGCGTCACCCCCTGTCCCCTGGTCCGATACCCGCACCCCTCACCTGGAGCGGGGCGGCCGTCACCCCCTGTCCCCTGGTCCGGTACCCGCACCCCTCACCTGGAGCGGGGCGGCGCGTCACACCCTGTCCCCTGGTCCGGTACCCGCCCTGGAGCGGGGCGGCGCGTCACACCCTGTCCCCTGGTCCAGTACCCGCATCCCTCACCTGGAGCGGGCGGCGCGTCACACCCGCCCCCTGGTCCGGTACCCGCATCCCTCACCTGGAGCGGGGCGGCGCGTCACACCCCCCCCCCTGGTCCGGTACCCGCATCCCTCACCTGAGCGGGGCGGCGCGTCACACCCCGCCCCCTGGTCCGGTACCCGCATCCCTCACCTGGAGCGGGGCGGCGCGTCACACCCCGCCCCCCTGGTCCGGTACCCGCATCCCTCACCTGAGCGGGGCGGCGCGTCACCCCCGCCCCCTGGTCCGGTACCCGCATCCCTCACCTCGAGCGGGGCGGCGCGTCACACCCCCGCCCCCTGGTCCGGTATCCGCACCCCTCACCGCGGCCTCTAAGACTACCCAGGTCCAGGGCCTTCCCCAGTTTTCTACCAATTCTTGAATTTCCATCCTCTACTTTGGAAATTGCACACAACATGGGCAGAAATCTGCTTTTGTTTTTTGTTGTTTTATTTTTGACAGCCAACATCATTCTATCGTGCGCAAATTGGTATGCATCTCAATTTATTGAATACCATTACACCTTATTTACTCACGATCATTTTCTTTATTTTCGAGCGGTTCGTGCGGGATCCGCGTGACGACATCAGTAGTAACTGGGATTACCGGTTTGCGTAGGAGTGATTTGATACAAAAATACCCCGTCCCGCCCACCGGGATGGGCGGTCACCGCTCCCGCCACCGGACGGGCAGCCGCCGCCCCCGCCCCGCCCACCGGGACGGGCAGCCACCGCTCCCGCCCCGCCCACCGGGACGGGCAGCCGCCGCTCCTGCCCCTCCCACCGGGACGGTCAAACGCCACCCACCTGTTCAGCGGCGCGGCCGGTGAAGGAGGCCGGCTCGAGCAGCGCGTCCATCTGGCCGTGCACGGGCTCGAAGTAGGCACAGGCGCGCAGACGCTCCACCAGATCGTTGTCCGCACCCTCCTGCTTGACCCGGTCGCCAGCCGCCTGCGAAAGCTGCCGCAGCTGCTCGTGGCATTCCTGCCGACCGAGCGGAGCGGTCGGATCAGGTCAAATCAGGTCAGGTCAGGCACACCGGCGACACGTCGGGGGCGGTACACGGAGCGCAAAGAGCAGAACAATCGTGACTATGACGGTCGACTGACAAAGCTCAAGCGATCTCGACAACTAAGCCAGAGGCTGAAAGATATTCAGACAGAGATATTCCAACCTTGGCAGGTTAGAAGGCTTTGCACTTTAATTGCTGAGAGGTCCAGACCACCATTCACCGAGATATATCCTCCTGCTGTGGCAACTCAACACGCATAACGACGTTGACGAGACACGGAAATATCGCGACCATTTAGGTTGAAAATGGTAACTCTGGGCCAATAATGAGACTGTAAGACCGGAATTCCGCGGTGGTTCGGGAGATCACCGCCACACAGACACTAACCTGTCGGTCGGCGCCCGCCTTCACCATGGCCATGATGATGTTCTCGGAGGCCATGAACGGCAGCTCCTGCTGGATGTGCCGCTGTATGACCCGCGGGTACACCACCAGGCCTTCTGTGATGTTCTGCAGCGTCAGCAGCAAACCGTCGGCGGCGAGGAACGCCTCAGACAGCGTGAGCCGGCTGCAGACACAGACAGCAGCGGTCGAAAGGGAACCGGGCGTCCCCGTCATGGCCCAGTGCCGGGCCTCAGACAATGGTAGGCGGGTACGAATCACATATAGCAGGGCCGATATCTCAACCTGACTTCTCTCTCGCCCCGCCTCCCCCAGACGGGCGAGACTAACCGGTTGGCGGAGTCGTCGAGTGTGCGCTCCATCCACTGCGTAGCGGCCGTTGGCAGGGCGTTGGAAGGCAGCGCCATCAGGTGGCGCGCCAGAGCACAGCACCGCTCCGACCTGACGACAGGCGCACACGGCGTCAGGAGCGCAGTGTGGCGCACGGCGGCACGCGGCGTCAGGCGTGTGGTGCGGCGCACGGCGGCACGCGGCGTCAGGCGCGCGGTGTGGCGTATGGCGGCACGCGGCGTCAGGCGTGCGGTGCGGCACACGGCGGCACGCGGCGTCAGGCGCGCGGTGTGGCGTATGGCGGCACGCGGCGTCAGGCGCGCGGTGGGGCACATGGCGGCACGCGGCGTCAGGCGCGCGGTGTGGCGTATGGCGGGCACGCGGCGTCAGGCGCGCGGTGGGGGCACATGGCGGCACGCGGCGTCAGGCGCGCGGTGTGGCGTAATGGCGGCACGCGGCGTCAGGCGCGCGGTGGGGCACATGGCGGCACGCGGCGTCAGGCGCGCGGTGTGGCGTATGGCGGCACGCGGCGTCAGGCGCGGCACGCGGCGTCAAGAGCGCAGTGTGGCGCACGGCGGCACGCGGCGTCAGGCGTGTGGTGCGGCGCACGGCGGCACGCGGCGTCAGGCGCGCGGTGTGGCGTATGGCGGCACGCGGCGTCAGGCGTGCGGTGCGGCACACGGCGGCACGCGGCGCCAGGTGCGCGGTGTGGCGTATGGCGGCACGCGGCGTCAGGCGCGCGGTATGGCACACGGCGGCACGCGGCGTCAGGCGCGCGGTGTGGCGTATGGCGGCACGCGGCGTCAGGCGCAGCACGCGGCGTCAGGAGCGCAGTGTGGCGCACGGCGGCACGCGGCGTCAGGCGTGTGGTGCGGCGCACGGCGGCACGCGGCGTCAGGAGCGCAGTGTGGCGTATGGCGGCACGCGGCGTCAGGCGTGCGATGCGACCCAGTCGCCGAACACGTGGGTACGCACGCAAACACGCGTATAGTCGACCGACGTGTTAATTACTATAACGATGCGATGAACTTCACGCGGCACGTGAAAAACTTCAGCACGTCATCAGGGGCGCGGTCTGAATGGAATCTTATGGCGGTCACCGGACGCTTGCAAAACCTTAAACAAATACTACAAGCACGACATGGCACTGCGGCACACCACGACCACAGCACACTCCCTGGCACCGGCTTTGCAGATCACAGCAGCGGTGCGTCCTACTAAGCCCTACGACCACACGGTGTGTTCCCACGACTTGGCCCTCACGAGTGGACCAGTTCTGCCTGCTGCACCAGTCAGGCCGTTACCACGCGCCCCCTCACCTCATCGGGTTGCGCTTGTAGGGCATGGCTGACGAGCCGATCTGTGACTTTTCGAACGGCTCCTCCAGCTCCTTCATACTGGCCAGCAGGCGGATGTCGGTGCACATCTGCCGGTCAGCACCCGGTCAGCACCCCGTCAGCAGTCACGCGCGCACGGGCCGGCCATTGACTACAGATACTCCTGACACGTACGCTGAGACCAACATCGCTCCGCGATGTACACGTGCTAAGGGTCAAAGCCAAAGGACTAACGACATGATGATTTGTTGACCCCACCGGTCAGAACGTCTGATTCCCGTGAAAGGAAATATAACGCGCTGAGGAGACACACACACACACAAAACACCCCCGCATATCAGCCAGACCAGTGCTCCAGTTTCCCGGGCTCCGAGGGCCCAGGCCCACGTGGGGGCTACGCCACCGACCTTATGCGCGCTGGCGCCTAGGCTGGCCAGTGCCTGCACCATCATCACATCCAGCTTGCGTGGGTACGTCTGTCCGCAGATGGTGTAGCAGGAGGAGAAGCCAGCCAGCTCCGTCACACGCCGATCCAGCCGCACCACCTTGTCGTGGTCACCTGATAGACGACGGTGGGGGTCGGTGAGTCAAGCAGCAGATAGCATGGCAACCGATAGCATGGCTACCTGATTGCATTTACTAGTAAAACACCGAAAATATTGTTTTATATCGTGATGAAACAATTCACTTCAATGGCCGCGCGAGATTAAATACACGCGCAAAACACTAACAACATGAATTTACTCCCAGATGTAGTGCGTGACATTCGAGTAAGTACAAGCTGGCCTTACAGACATCCACCTTGCAATGTTGGATCGGAGCACACCGGTACTGGAGCCATGCATGTCTTGGCCTTAGCAAGTAAGACCGGAGCGCGCGCGGACAGTGCCTCAGAGTCAGGCCCCTACCGGCGAACAGCTGGAGGAAGGAGGCCTGCGTGCCCGTGGTGCCCTTGACGCCGCGGAAGCGCAGGTCTTTCCGGAGCTGGCGCAACGTCTGCTCGTCCAGCACCAGGTCCTGCAGCCAGAGGCACGACCGCTTCCCCACCGTGGTCAGCTGCGCGGGCCTGCCCGGCGGAGACAGAAGCCCCCGGACTGGCGTTTACGCGAGGTCCTGTCTCAACCCCAGCTGGACCGACCCTCGCGCAATGCACCGCGTGAGAAGGGTGGCTGCGTTAGCATGAGCACGAGGTCGTGCAGCGGCGTAGCCATGGCAGACGGCCGACCATACGGTGGTGCTGATTCACGAGACCAGCCCGGGGTGTCGTGACCGGGCACCCGGGCACGCCGACTGAGGAAGGCGTCCTCCTGGCGTGGCCGGAGCCAGCGGGGCTGCTGATCCGGTCTGAGCGCGGCGGGAAACGGCGGGGGGGGGGGGGGGCAATACTCACTGCAGATGCGTAAACCCCAGGGTGGGCAGGGCGGCGTACTTCTCGGAAAAGATGCCCAAGCGCTGTATGCAGCGGCCCAGACGCGGCAGCAGGATGTCCAGGCCGTCTCGGATCACAATCAGGTCCTACACGCAGGCACCAGGTCCAAGATCAGTGGTCCGGTCCTGCTGCATTTGGTCAATTGTTAATGACCAGGTTCTGACGAGATCTGACCAACCACTGACAATCTGGCCCTTAGGGTTAAAATATTGTGAACAGCATCAGACAAATCAGTCCAAGTAGCTGTTCCTGAAATCGTTCATAACCTGCCGTAGGGATCAGATGTTCATATCCTAATTCACACAGGTGATCAGAGCATTCTGCAAGGTCACCACAATATCCTTATGATATGTTCTGACTGGCTGACTTATGGATGCAATTGGGTCAGAAAAAGCATAGTTTGCAGCACTCTAACCCAATGCTGGGGAGCACCCACAATCACATCACACAGTTTCTACCACCAGACTGCAAAAGCACAAATCAGGTCTAGTTTGCAAGATTGTCAGCCAACCCAAAACATTTGTTTTCGGTTCCCGTCCTATGTCGGTACAACATAGTATTAA